CCCTTAGCACTCTTTTAAAACCTCCCAGCTTTTCCGCCCTGTTTTCACTCAAAACGAAACTACTCTGTGTGCTGTGCGCACGTGAGACTGTTACTGAAAACTGTGCTTTATGCTGGACAGTATTTATTTATCGCGAGTTGTTCAAATTGCGGTAATCTAATACGGTTTTAATGATAATTAAAAGATGAAACGGTAATACTAACCGTGGGGAATTTTATCATGATTTATCGTCAAACCGGTAATCGTTACATCCCTAGTCTCGGTTACGTACGTAACCCTCGTTCCCTGATGGAATTGGGATGTTATGTCCCCATGCCACAACCTTGAACCATTCACTGTTGCCGGGACACGTTCCCGGATCCTCAGCATAAAACCTAATGAGTGGATGCACGCTGTCACCTTATATACCCATGTGCACAGGGAGTGGCTCAGCATGCAAAATCCACTAGCCAATTTTCATTGGCGTTTTCTCTTTAACTCAGAGATGATTGGGCTCCCAAGTTAGACCCCTAATGTCAATTTGTTCGCGAACCGGACATCACTAGCCGGCTGAGATCGGTCACTTGTTCACAGTGTAGTATTTCCTGTACACAGTGAATGGCACGTAGTGCACAATGTAGGCGATAGGGAATGATTCAGACAGTGTAAATATGCTTTCGATTGGTGCAAATGAGGTCTGGTTTCGTATTGTTTCACGCGAACCCGGCAGCGCGCACAGTCTGCTCTGGATTTTGGCTCCGGTCCAGAGACGCGATCGCACGGAGTGGATCATATGCGTGAGTCGGCATATATTAAACACTTTTAAAGCTACACAGCCTCAGCACGATTATGATCACTATTTTGTTTTACTAGAGCAGGGATCCTCAAATCTGGCCCACGAGATCCACTTTCCTGCAGAGTTTAGCTCTAACCCAAACAACATTCATGTTCAAAATTATTCAACCCCAAAAAGTCAAATTTTGTGCAGAATCATTTATTCTTTAAAACCACCAATAAACACTGCCTATAAGAGCTCAGAAGCTTCTGTCACCTCTCTACTGCAGTCTTGGCTCATTCCTCGCCTGAAAAAGCTTTCAGATCACTGATAATCTTTGGTTTTCACATTGCCACTGCTTTCTTCAAATTTAACCAAATATAATGAGAGTTAAGAATGCTTCATCTCCATTATGATCGCTGTTGATGAGGAGCTTAATACGATGGCTTGGTTATTTGCTAATTTAGTGCCTTACCCAAGTGTGGCCTAATTGACTCCTTCCCCATCAAGAATATTGTTTGTACATAACATAAGCACACCAGGCCTTCAAATTTTATTTCATTTTATTTTTCAAATGATATATAATATATATATAAATTTAAAATAAAACAATAACACAATACTAAATAAAAACCTATAGTGTAAATAGCTGTTTTGTTGTTGTTTCTTTTTAAAAAAAAAAAGTGTTATATTTATTTATCTCCAGATCATGAAAAGCTGGAAAGTGATTTGCGCTCATCACGTGGATCATTGTCACCATTGGTGTTGATGTTTTATTGGGTTTGTTTATGGGTTTCATTGTAGTATTTGTCAAGAGAAGAACGTGTTCAAAAGTTCATCCGCAGGTATAACTCAGTCAAATTCTCTCTCAGAATGGAATTATTTGTCATCACTTGTTTTTTTTAAACTCTGTTCTTTCTCTCTGTATCAGTCCAGTCCAGTCCAGTCCAGGGGCATTTCCTCCGAGTAGGCAAGGGAGGCAGTGTCTCCTCGAAATATTGGAAGAGAAAAAAAAATCATAGAACAAAAATAAAACAACTACAATATTACAAAATATAACATTAAAAAGTGTATAAATCACTTGTTTTTCTAAAGAAACGTCCAAGTGACACCAGCAGGTAAAGTTACAGCAGGAGTCTCTCTCGCCTCCCCCTGAGCCCATTCACTTTTAACAGACCCCCTAAAGCTGCGGTGAGTTTGGTGGAGGGTAATTGAGAATGAATGGGGGGAAATCACGAGAGAGGAGACAATGCCTCCATCACGATATGATTGGATCTGACTGGTTATGTTCGGCTGTGATTCGTTCATGCGATAAATCCTGCCTCTTGTGTTCATGCGCGTTCCGTTCGCGAATCAGTCTGAATGAACAATGTAATGGCGTTAATGGTAAGACTAATTAAAAAAAGTAAGTAAACAACTCAGATACTTAGATATAACTACTTTGTTACGTCAAAATAAGACATGAAATAGAATGAAATGGCCTTAAAACATGATCTGTGGGAGTTTTTAGTGGTCAGCTTGGTAAAATTTTAAGTAAATCTCTGTGTCTGTGACCAATATTCACCGAGCTTTGATGACTAATGAACCGAATAATTCAAAAATAGTAAAAAGTTAACTATTAAAAAGAATAGCCGAACATAAGTTCACAAATAAAAACGAGGGAAACGTAGGGAACGAGACACTGCGTCCTCTAGGGGTCGCTATGGGGAGCGCCTCGTCGTGACCCGTGTCTGAAGCATACATTGAAAAAACACCAACAACACATTGGCCGGCGACAGCCCATGACGTCACTACCGGTGCGACTATAGTATAAATAGGCGCCGGGAGAACACATCATCCACTTCTTCGTCTGAAGCTTGCGTCCGAAGCATGGCAAGAAACCTAGAGGACGCAGTGTCTC